CCAAGCCATGGAAGCCAAAGCAGAACTACCCACCCAACTCACTTTGAGCCTGGTGGTGATGTTGGCCAAGAACGAGAAGGTGGAAAGACCCATCACGCTGACCAGCGTGCTCTATCGGGTCTGGTGCAAGATGAGAAAGCCCCTCATGGATGCGTGGCAGAACAATCTCCCTCCAGCCATGAACTATGACAGAGCCAGACCGGGAGCAACGGCCTTACATGTGGCATTAGAAAGATTGCTGCGCCAAGAAACCACCAAGTCCTTGGGCAAACATGGCATAACAGTCCTGCTGGACATGAGCACTTTCTACGACACTTTGGATCTACAACGTCTTCAACAAACAGCCCAAGACCTAGACTACCCTCCACTTGCCCTCGAGTTCGCCATGCAGGTGTACACGGGCCACAAAGCCATTTTGGCAGAGGGTGAACTCAGCCCATGGTTCCATGCTACTACTGGAGTAGCCGCCGGTTGCCCTCAGGCTCCACTCCTAGCCAAGACCTTCTTGCAGCCCATCCTCACCAGTTTCCAAAGGGAGTTCCCGGAACTCCACCTCAACGGCTGGGTGAACGACATTGGGTTTGATGGCAACCACGTCCAATTGGCCCAACGCAGCATCCAGGCATGGCAACACCTACGGGCAGACCTCACCACTGCTGGTCTGATCGTCAACAGTCACAAGACAGCCTTCATTGTCACGGACAAGGTCATCCACAAAGAACTTGACAAGCTACTGGGGCCCGATGACCCGCCCATCCAGTCCGTGATGAGGGACCTTGGAATTGACCATTCCGCCGGCCGGAAAAGGCGAATTGCCACCCTCCAACAGAAAGGAGGATCAAGCTCCGGAGCCTCAAGCTCAGACTCCATCGCGGAGGAGTCCAACCAGTGGCCTTCTGGGGCTTCAAGGTACCGGCTGGCCCTTCGCCAAGGTTTAGCCACACACCTGGGCCTCCACCACAGTGGACTGACTGACGTCATCTATGACCAGCACACCAAAAAGTATGCTGACCCAGGGACCAAGTCATCATCCATCACATCCGGGCTCTCCACACCCTGATCCACCATTGGCCACAAGACCACATCCAGCATGTCGAACAGGCCTGGATTGCCATCCGAAACCAGATCCACAAACAGCAGCACCCCTGATACCAGGTGAAAGGACCCATGGCAGCCACCCTTGCCTACCTCAAAGAATGGGGCTGGACGACTGACTCCATCTATCACTGGCGCCGGCATGAAACAGCCTTCATGACAGAGGCCCACATCAATATGCAGGATGATTGGGCGACCATCGAACAAGCCCTCCACCATGAAGCACAGCAGCAGCGGACCAGCAGGCTGGCTAGCAAGAGAAACTGCCAAAACCTGGTCAGCGGCATCGATTGGACCATCGCCACCAAAGCCGCGAAAGTCCTGCCCAAGCAGCAGATCCACCATATGAAGACATGGAACCAAGCAGCCCTCCACTACCGCCAAGGGGACAAAATCAAGACCTGCCCCTTATGTGGAGTACCAGCAACACCCAAGCACATCGTCTGGCTGTGCACCTGGCACCACAACCAAGGCCATGCTCCACTGGAAGTAGAATGGACAGAGCGGCTTCAAGACCCTTTAGAGGAACCCCTCTGGGCACATGGCTGGATCCCAAGAGAGCCACAGGACCACCTGCAGATGGCCCAACCACTCCAAGGCCATGGTTGCTGGAGTTCCCTCGAACCCCTGCCACTACAGCCATGGCAAGGACTCTCAGTGACTTTGGACGCCACCCCGTCCTCCTACGACCCGCGCTCCCAAGCCTGGATTTTCGGGCTCTGCATCCACACCTACTCCGTGGGCACCCTTCTGCGAAAGGGAACCATCACCGGCATGGCTCCAGGCCCCCAGACCAAAGCCCGAGGCCCAACATGTCCTCACGCCAGTCAACGTGGTGGTGCAGCTCGGGTCGGTTTGGGAGGCTTGGACAAACCCACGAAAGCGACATGGGTTTGAAGACCTCACTCGAGGTATTGAGGAACACCTCTACCAGCACATCACCCCGCTCTACATCCACAAAAACACACGAACTGCTGAGGCTCCTGGAAACGAACCTCATTTGAGACGAAGACAAAGGGACGCCGCTCTAGCGGCCTACGAGAGAGCCAGCACTCTCTATGACAAGCAAGCCGAAGACTGGCAAAAAACACTTGACCAGGACCACATGCGGATCTACAAGCAAGCTGCTGCCAGACTTGAGAAGATCTACAAAGATCCACAGCATTACATCCACGAAAAGCCAGTCCGGCGAGCAGGGCACAACACAAAGCAATACAATAAGACAGGGTGGTTATGACCAAGGCCCTCAAGCGACCCTGCCAAGGTCACAGCCAGAAATCACCCACCCTTGTCCAGTTGTTCAGCACCCAAAGCCAGCACAGTCAGGCTGACAGTCTGGCACCCAAAGCCACCAAGACCGGCCATGAAACCCAGCCACCACCAGGGCAGCCAGTGACAACCTTGGATGCTCCAGGGCTTATGTCACCACCAGTGCCGAAAAAACTCCGGTTCTCCCCGAAGCCTGACAGCTCCACTTTGGCGCACAGGAGCAAGGAGAAGAAGAAGCTGCACAAGATGACCCCTGCATGGAAGTCGACTACTTCTGAGGTCATCAAAGAGCAGGGCAACGCACCTCAAACGAGGAATCCAACAGAGACCACCACGAGAAGGCCGTCTACTGAGCGCATTCCCAACTGAGGCACCTGTCCTAGACAAGCCAAAGAGCAACCGCCCAACACAACTTTAGGAAAAAAATACATACATACATACATTAATACATACATACATACATACATACATACATAAAAAAACATACATACATACATACATACATACATTACAATACCATACCATACCATACCATACCATACATACAATAACAAAACATAACATACAATAACATAACATAACATAACATAGCATAGCATTACATTACATTACATTACATAAATACATACATACATACATACCTACATACCTACCTACATACCTACATACCTACCTACATACCTACCTACCTACATACCTACCTACATACCCACATACATACATACATACATACATACATACACTTACGACCGCCTGATTCTCACGAAGGGGCTCCAAAAGGAGTGCAAAGGTCACAAACCGACCTCACCCACTCTGGCACACTTTTTCAGCCAGGCAAGCCCTTCCAGCCAGGCGGAGCCCTCGCCCCCAGAGGCCACACACAGCTCTGCTGCCACCAACACACCGGCCAACGCAGGCCAACACTCTGGCCATGATACCCAGCCACAGCCTGCGCATCTAGCAACTGCACCGCAGGGTCCGGAGACTCTGTCTCCACCGGTGCCCAAGAAGCTCAAATTCTCCGCATCTCCTCCACCTGAAGATGCAGAGATGTGCAGCCATGAAGAAGCCGAAGAAGAAGCAGAACGCACCTGTGACCCCGAGATGCAGGTCGATTTCTTCTGAGCCGCGGCAAGGTATCTGAGGCCAACCGTGCCAAGCTGAACCGGCCACTGAGCCTTCTTGCATCCAACTTCAGGAGAAAAAAAAATAGATACACTTACATACATATATATATATATACTTACTTACCTTACAACACATTGCTTTATATTGCATTACATACATACCTACATCACATACATCCATACAGCTCAACCCGCTAGAGGTTCAAGGAGCCAGCCCACCAACTCCTCATAGCGTGGCAACTTCCCTACTTGGACACTTTTCTAGTTCGCTAAGAGCGGCTGACCATGTTGACCTTGCAGCCGGTGTCGCTCACCGGCTTTACTATAGGCCATGGACTCAAAAGTTCCAGACTTCAACACTGCTCTACTCATCCTGTACTCAACACCATTTCCCAGTCTGCTCTTTCTCGTTCCCTTATCTCTTTGAAAAGGAAGGAGTATGGACATGTGCCTTACCTTGAAAAGCTTCACCCTTCACCTTCAAACACTATATAGATATTTCAGTTGTTGATTGAAGCTCAAAAACAATATCAGAAACGTTTATCTTAGATCCTCTGGTGAGTTCTGTCGGAATTGTCACAGTCGCTGTGTTGCTGAAGCGGTTGCTCAAGTGAAGCATCCAAGGTCCCACCCTGCACCAAAAGGTCTGCGCTAGCCCATCACTCCCCTCTCAGAGCCGCCCCCTTTGAGCTTTGGTGTGTTCAAAGTCATTCCATGGCTGCATCATACAAACATACACGAAACATACATACACAGTCACACAGTCACACATACACACATACATACATAATCACATACAAGCATTCATTCATTCATTCATCCTTACCTTACCCCACACTACACTACATACGTACGCAACATTACATAACGTTACATTACGTTACACGCAAGCAAACAAACATACATGCATACTGTCATGCATAGACACACACACAGAGACATACATACATAAATACATCACATCACATCACATCACATACATACTCACACATACGTACGTACGTACCTACCTACCTACATACATACATACACACACACAACTACATAACTATATACATACACACACATACGTACACACATGCATGCATATGTTACTCGTTACGTGGCATTACATTACATTTACATGACACACTTACATACCTACTGAAATTCAATTACATCATATTACAACACATTACGTCACATTACGTAACATTACTACAGTACAGCGCAGCACAGTACAGCACAGAGGGGCACAGAGACAAACAAACATTGCATTAAAAAAATGCACAAGTACATTGCATACACACATAAGCACATACAACACAAATGCGCCACAACAGGTGACAACTCATTCTCTTGCTGTTTTTTCATGCACATACGCGTATATAGAAGTACATCTGGATAGAAGTACATCTGGATAAACAAATACACACGTACATGCAAATACCATCGGTTGCATTCTTATTGCGGGTGTGCTTGGCACCCCTCTTCCTCTGGCGAGTTGACACCACAATCTAGGCGCCGCACCAAAGGGCTGACATGGGCCATCAGCAAGGCCTGCGTAGTGCCTTCGTCGATGATCAATTCTTGCAATTCGGGCCTCAATGTAATTCAATTCTTGTAACGGATCGGCCAGGCTCTCCGATTACAATGCAATGTGTTAGTATTAGGTCCAGGTGGTGGCCTTCAGCAGGCTGCGAGAGACTTCCTCCAAAAGTTACACGTCAAAGTCCCCAAAACAAGCATATGAGACGATCCAAGGTCACGGGTCAATTCTTCAACAAACTCTTGGCCAGCCGTCCTCCCAGTCACCACAAATTCTAAAAGGTTTGTTGATATTGCAATATCATATAGGTGTAGTTAAAATCTATGATGTCCCCTGTCACCATGTATATCCATGTATATTCCCTTGATTGAGACATGGGTTGACAACACCCAGAGTTAAACGAGAATTCCTCGCCACAGGCGTGGGGCCAAGGAGAACGCAAAACGAATCTTGTAAGGGCATGTACTTTACTTACATCCCAAAGTGCAAATACACGCGCGCTTGTCAACGCCGACCTGGATGACAGCGACCCATGCAGTGAATCTGTCAGGCAACGGCGTAGCAGCGCATCCTTGCAGACAGCCAAGAAAAGAATCTAGCTTGTGACTTGTCTCCGACCAGGCTGTGACCAAACAATATATACTGTACAAGAATAATTATGTGTTCAATGCTCATGTGGTGCAGTATCTGAACTTGCCCGATTTCAAGCCTCCCCCCGGCCCCGCCATCACCGCTGCCAGCGCTGCAGAGACCACCACACGTGCACCATCGGTATCTCGCTGCGCGCGTAAGGTGAAGCATGCGGCAGCAAAGTGGCGCCTTCACTCACAACCCGCTTCATCAAGACATGCCAAGCGACCCCACTAGCCAAAATCGATTCCAGATTGAAGAGCCCTTGACCCAATTGGCATCTGTCACCCCAAAAAAAGCCCATCAAAAAAACACGAATGCCCGCTGCCACCCTGGGTCTAGGCTTCATTTTCTTCCCCGTCTTCGCGAAAAGGAAGCTTGAGGTCCCACAACAACCAAATTGCAGTATATATACTTCAACTTCAGACCAATACACTGCCGCGATCCCTGGGTGAGCTCGTTCTTTGTTCTATATAATTCAGCGTTCAGCGCTAGTCGCACCTGATCACCATCATGTAATCATGTAGTTTTAGTCACTAGCATCACTGGGCAGCTTTCTGAGGGGCTGGCTGTGCTCCGCGTATGCAACGGGCACGGAAACTGCTGGGGGCATCACGCTATAAGGAAGAGGTGTCGCATCAGGTCGGCCTTGCGCGTTGGTCGAACATCACAATCATCAATGCCAAAGAGGGCGCGCCTTCGTCTCCTGCTTCATCTCTTGCATCCAAAAACATTGAGAATCCTGGCAAGCTTTGCAGTTATGTATAGGGGATCTCTCAGATGGCATCTGGCGCATAGGACAAACTGATGGAAATCGGCTCCCTAAACCTCTTAGCGGAAAGCAGGGTTTGAACATGTGGATGCCATCAATGTGTTTTCTTTCGGAACGGTGTCTCATCTGCACTTGTTCCTGGCAGTTCGCATCTCCGCTCGTGGGCATTGAGGTTTGATGCATTTTGTTGCAAGCGGATTGCAACAAAGATACGGGATGCCATGTGTTTGTTCTTGGTTTTGACTGGGCTTGCGAGATGGCATCTGAGATGCCAAAGTCACAAGCAAATGGCATTCCAAAGGCATTTTGCGAATGCCATCTGAGTGTGGTCCTCTATAAAATCTTTCTCAATAGGTCGGCATGTCCTGCCCACCCGCACACAAAACAAGGGTGGCCTGAGAACTCAAAAGCACAACCAAGTAAAGCTCTCGTTTGCCTAGCCGCCCCAGCCTACCAAGACCATGAAAAGACTTCAGCTGACCAGGCTTTGCAATGACAAGTCCAAAATAATCTAAACACCCTTCGCAAAAGGGAGTCCAATCTGACTGAGAAGAAACGCTCATGGTCGTGGTCCATACGCTCGCCTTTTGTGGCCTCTCTCGTCTGCCATCTCAGCCACTTCTCATGATTTAGAACCCTGCACAAAAAGATCCTTTTTCAGGAAGTTCACAGTGACAGCGGTGCGTTTGTCCGTGCATGAAACTCACACACTTCATTTTCTCCAACACCGTTGCTTCCTCCGCGGCAGCGGGAAAACAACAATCGTTGAGTAGCATCTGGCCGCGACTGCCACCGCTGCACCGCACCGCACAGCACACAGCCGCGCACAGCACAGAGAACCGCACCACTTACAGCCGTCCGCAGCCAAACATCGCTCACCACGCGCTTAGCAAACAAGAACCCAGGCATCATAGATGCTTTCGGGGCAAAGAAGTGACCACGCCTTGCAGGCATGGTCCAGGGGCAGCGGCATTGGCAGCAACTGGGTCCTGGTGGCAGGTATGCCACGACGATGTTCAGTAACAGACTTGATAGACCCTCAGCTGTTCTGAGACATTTCCTGGACCCTGAAAGAGCATTGAGGACCCAGCAACAAGCGGGCGATGAGAGCGAAGCGAGTCAATGCCTTGGATCAAGTGTTGACGTTGCCTCGTCACAACCGCTTCAAAAACTTCACATGGTACACGTTACCGAGGTTGCAAAAAGAGTATCACACATAAAATTGTTTATCACTGTTCATCTCGGGAGCGCGTTAATTTTTAGCCCACAGCGCACAACTGGGCACCTGGCGGATTGAGAAAGGTGTTCTGACTGATTGCTAAGAAGTGACAGCCTCAAACTCAAGAAAATCTCCATGATGAAGCCTTCTGCTGTCAGCTACCCTGCTTTTAAATCAAGCCCCACAGTCTCGGGGCCCTGCAAATGCACCATGGCCCGGCAACAGCTGGACGCCTCAAAGGGATCTTGGAGTGCCTCGGAAGTGTCCACTTGCCGCACGCAGTATCTCAATCGTCTAGTTGTCATCGGAGCACCTGCATTGACACGCCACAACGCTGGTGGTTTGTCAGCACCTCTGGATCCAGGCCACCCGACGACTGGCAGCTCGCACAAAGGTACTGACACACAAACTCGAGGAGGGTCCACCTGCAATGAAATTAGAGTGAGTCAGTGCAAGCATCTGGGTGGAGCTGAATGCACAAAGTTCCTTCCTGCAAAGAAACGTGTTCATTCTACTGACGCGGCTGTGCAGCCAGAGGAAATGAGTAGCTGTGACTGTGGCTGCGGGAAAGCACACGTCCAAGCTGTGATAATGGTCAGATTCTAAGGGCGAGCCCGAGCCCTGCAACACCGGGGCTGTCCAAACCAATCAATGTTCAATGTGAGGGAGGTCTTGCAAAACGAAAACAAAGGTAGAGAAAGAGTGTCTTCACCATGGTGTTGGCCCAAAACGGGGAAGTGACAAATATATGTATAAGTGTGTATATATATATATGCATGTTTTGATACTGAATTATATATATGTGTGTGTGTGCGTGTGTGTGCGTGTGTTTATACGTATATGTATATACCACATATGGGAACCACGTCACGAAAATTCTAGACACACCTCCCAGCAACAATACTAACACCCCCTCGCCTACCCAGCATCCACTTCGCAGAGCGGCTGGGCACCATACGGCCAAAAGACTTTTTTGAGGTGGAGCCTGTTGCCTTTGGTATACCAAACAAGCCCCCGTCCAACCAAAAGCCACCCGAGAATTACTCAGAGTCTTCACACCAAAATCAGCCAACTCTAGTTGTCCACCATGGGCTCAATCATTTCAATACTTGGGATGATCCACCTCTTGCATAAGCCGGGCCTCCCCTTTCAAGCATTCAACATCGCGTTCCTGCAGCGTGGAGCCAATTGAGCTTCCGGCTGTCCACGGCGCACTTTTTTAAAGTGTTGAACCACAGTGAATCAGGGATAGAACTGAAGAACTGGCATGCATCTCCTCTATAAATGAACGCGTCCCTACCTTGAGAACCACACACGACGTCTGTGTTCCACGACCTGGCAGCTGCCCTTGTTCTTGTTGCGATCCCACACCCTCCAGCCCAGCCCGAATGGAGGCGCTCCAGAAGTCGTTTGAAATCCTCGAAGACCAATTCCTCTGGCCGCAGCTGCGAGGCCTGTGCCAGCTCGGCGACACACGCCGGGGGCACCTCCTTGGACACGGCCGGGCAACTGCGCTAGGTCAAAGTGGGGACTTGGTAAAAACGCCGGGGAAGATGACCGAGAGCCAGGAGCCCTTCTGAAAGCCCAATCCACTACCATAGCTCCGTACTACAGTAAGGATTCTCGATTGGCTGTGTGTGTGCCCCCTGCCTCTGTCAGATGTTCTGCAACGTCTTCCTGCGGGCCAGGTGGGCAGCCTTGCCCTCAAACCCCATGGGCAACGACCAATGAGCAAATGTGATAAATTGAAAAAATGACTATATAGAATAATGTCAAATATAAAGTATTATATAACTATACAATAATATAACTATATAGTTATATATATATATAACATCCCCCACGAAAATCACATGGAGGGGTCAGCCCTGCTCATTTTTTAGTGATTTCCTGGGGAATGATGAATGTCAGCTCCCTATAGGAAATGAGGAACGCAGCCTCGTGAGGCAATGTTTGGCATTCTCTAGTGAGAAAAAGAGTCGCTAGAAAATAGACATAATTTTCAAGCGCCGCCTTTTCACCCATGCTTGGCGCATTTTCTTGCGGATCCTGCTTCTGCGTGCTGTGAGGAGTCCCAACAACAAACAAAAGCATACAAAAGCTAAGTTTATTGAACAACAACTACAACACTCCGAAAACACCGCCGCGATCCGGCAAATCAAGTGGCGCTTTGGTGTCTCGACCAAGAATGCCAGAAATGGAAAGATAGGGCACCCAAGTGTTGATGCACTGGTAACGGAGCTTCAAGACTGGTCGACGTCGAAATGTGAACAGCAGCTAAAAATGAGCGCTACGAAGGATCGAGAGAACTCAAGACTCAAGAGCACGCAATTTCTATGGCTACGGGCAACGGCGCGCGTCTGCTGGTGCACAGCTGACTGAGCTGAATGCCATGATTCCGCATGGCTTTTGGTTTCAAGTCAAGTCAATATTGCACAATCAACACCGATCAAAAACTTTCTGTTGACTTGACGCCGTCTTCAGGATTTGGTAGAAATAATTAGGAGTTTTTCGCATGGCCCTTTTCTTCCTCGAAGAAGTGAAGGTAGGATCGAAGAACAAGCAAATACGTTTCTGTTGGCAAACATTCACAAGTGCTTCCTAAGAAAAGGCTTTCGACCAGGCATCGGCTGACTGATAATCCGACTCTATCCAACGGCATTCGATCCCAGCGGCGTGAAGGCCTTCTCGGTACGAGAGGATTTCCACTGCCAAACGTCTTTCTTCCAGTTGGAGGCCCCACATAGTTTTCGAATGAGTCACGATGACTGATTGAATCTGTCTCAACGCACTATCCATGTTTTGAACCTGAACCGTTTCCGAATTAAACAGATCGACGATCAACTGTTTCATGAACTCGTGTGAGTCAATGGCGGTACTTGCCATCTGGATTTCTGCGGACGTGGAGCTTCGACAGGCTCGAGGTAAACGTTTTGATTGCCAAGAGACTGGTGCAAATGAACTGGTCTCGCCATTCAATATGCTTTCGCTGGCAATACCAGTCAACATGCCCCCTTCACTGGACAGATCCTTGCGACTGCTCCAGGTGCGTCATGAAAGGTGACTAAAGTGAGGTTGGTAATGTTTGACGGAAAGAGAAGGGGAGTACTACAAAACTGTTTCTGGGCACGAACAAGTTTGTTTAAAGAAAGAACATCTTCACTGGTGGCTTCGTTGAAACAACCCTGGAGATACGACGCACTGGCACTCAACCATGGTGCTGTTTGAGTGGATCGCCAAGCCAAGGCACCAAGAACTTCTGTATTGTTTCCTTTCGTTTTCGTTGGGCGACGCGTCCTTTTCCAGTTTTCTTGCCTTGCGCAGATTGATTTCGTTGATCGAATCGGCGTATCGCTCTCTTGGTTGACCTCAATGGGCTTGTCACTTCTTTGGGTAGTTTCGCGGCCGCAAAACTTCATGGTTTCTTGCGATCCCTCGCGCCACGCCCCGAACGGAAACGATTTTCGAGCCAAAGCAATCTTTTCTTGGTAGTGGTTCCCAAAACCCACACAGGGCAGGTCATCCACATGACCACCAATAAGGCCACACAATTGATCCCCGGAAAAGAGTTTCCAAACACAAGGTTCAAGTCTGGATTTCAACCAGCCCTGTTCTTGAAGAACACTGTCGAGCTTGGCATACCAAAATCTGGGGGCGTGTAAGAGGCCGTAAACTGCCTTCAAGATTCGAAAGCACTCATGGGATTTCATTCCTAACATTTCTTTGGCTTCAACAGGTGGTTCAGCAAAAATGAAACGTTGTTCTTCTGTCTTGTCGCCGTTCAAAAAGGCTGTCTTGATGTCCCCTGTTGCCAGGTCCCATGTATATGCCGCTGCAAGACCCAAAATCAAGCTCCTCGATTGAGAACTCAGGGTTGGTGAATCTCGACGAAGCTGAAGCAAGTCTGGGTCCTGAAACCCTTTATACTGAGGCGGGCCTTAGGTTTCACCTTGACGTCTGCTTTGCTTGCGCCCTCGCCAGCCTCTTCGTCCAGCCGCTTCCACGTCAACACCCAACGCATGTTCATGATACGAGAGAGGATGGTGCAACTGCTTCATGTTCAAGATATGAGCCTACCTCAGCCTGCATCGCTTTGAGAAAATCGAGTTTATGTTCGTCACTCAGGTTTGAACTGGACCTCAGCTCTTTTCTGCGGTTTCTGGTTGATTTTCCATTGCTTGGTTCCAGATTTGGACAGACTTCTCACAGACTTCTTTTCCAGCTTCCGGACATTGAGAACAATATGCCTCAGAACACAAAAGCTGATCTACGCGTTTTTGGGGGGGACAGTGAGCACAACCGACAGCGTCTTCGTCTTGTCCGTTTTCAAGTTCTTCTGAGCACTGTCTTCGTTTTTTCGTTTCCTGGTCCTTCATACAGACAGCTAGCACTGTGATCGTTTCGTTCGTTTCCTGGTCCTTCGTACATGCAACATGCACTGTCATCGTTTTGTTCGTTTCCCGGCCCTTCATACAAGCAACGTGCACTGTCTTCGTTTTGTTCGTTTCCTGGTTCTTCAGAAATACAAGGGAGGTCGGAAGAGTACAGAGAGGACATGTTTTGAGAGTTTCGAGATTTGAGGATAGGGAGATCTGCTTCGAGCCATGCTTGGGGCTGAGCTCACTACAGTCCGTGTCGCTGATCCAGCTCGGCGATCTTCTGGTTCTGCATGTCCTGAGTCTGCTGCATCTGGACGATCATGGCCTGGTTCTGGTAGATGGCGCTCTGTTGAGCCACACTTCGTCTTCAGAAGGGAAATCGTGTCTTGCTTTTCGGCGGCGTCGATGGTTTCGCTCTGAGGGGGCTGTGCGTCCCACTCTGTCTGGGTTGTTTGGAGATTGGCATTTCTCCAGAACTCTTCACGAGAGTCTTGGTCAACTGCCCGGTCTTCTCCTGGCATTCCTCCACGCGGCGAGCGTAGATCATCACCTTGAAGAACTTGGTGTTGTCCCGCCGGTGACCGAACAGCCCTTGGTAGATCTCGCGGCATGACTTGCCCTTGCGTTGGCCATCCATTAGGATCTCATCGGCCAACTTGCTGAGGGGCAGAGCTTGGCAGCGATCCTTCTCCGTTTGGGTCTCTGACTCTTTCTGCTCGGCTTCTTGGATCTTCTGGCGCTGGGACAGGCTCTGCGTCACCTTCTTGTCTTGGTCGACATGTCGCTCAGGTTGCTTCAAGCGAGCGCGAAGGAGGGCGGTTTCTTGAGCCGGGGGCTGGGCTGATGATGGTGGTGCTTCCTCGCGCAAGTCAGAATCGACTGGTTCATCGGCTATCTCCTCAAAAATGCTTCGTTTTGGCAACTGCTCTGACATATCCTGGAGATGACTAGTTACCTTCAACTTCCTTAATTGCTCAGGTGCACCGCGATAGAGGATGACTCCATATACAATCCAAATGATCGAGCCCTGAGTTTGGTTCAGGTCTTCACTGCCAGTTTTCTCAACGCCGATGATGCGGGCTGGTCCGTACCATCCACAAATCCTTTGGCTGGAGGCATTTCTCCCTTTTCGATAAAAATATACAAGTTTGCCAATTTCAAAAATCTCGCTCTTTCGAGCTTGGCCGCGGGCCGCGCGCAAAATGCGACGCTGGGAGTCTGCCTTAATGAAACTTTCTTTCGCTAGTTGGACCAGTTTGAGGTCTTCTTCAAAAGTCGTGTTCTCCTGAGGGAGACTCTGGTTGGCTAGGTTGTGTCCTTCTTGGAGCCAAGATTCGATGGCACTCTTGTCCATGCCGAAGGCCCATTGGTTTGGGCCAAGACCTCGAATTTGGCGAAGTCCGTTTTTGGCTGACAAGGCAAGTTGTAGGGCTTCTTGTGGATCGCATAGTGCCCCTTTCTCAAGACAAATGAGCGACATCGTCTCCTTCAGGGTCTCCAAGTGGCGTGAGCGCTTGCCCACTTGCCAGGCGGCTTCGCCAGGTACGAATGCTAGTTGAATGCCTATAAGCCCTCCAACCAACTGTGCACTTGAAAGCCGCGAAAAGCTCCTTCATCGTCAAAACGGATCAGTTTTGGGTCTGGGAAACACTTTAATCCAGTGGTCTCCAATGGCCCGTTTAAATTCTTTACCCGTGATAGGACTGAGTTTCTTCCCACCAGTACGAATGACGCACACAGCATGAAAGTCGGTCGCCTCATTGAGAAAGGAAACCCAATCGCGTATTCACACGGTTCGCCCTTATCGTTTCTGTTGGGGGAGAACCACCAAAACGTGTCCACACTCAAGACTTCCCACTTTCCATAACCCCGAGGAACCATAGAGACGTTGCGAGGTTTCGCATGACCCCTTTGCCTGCAAAAATCACATTCAAACTGTTCAGCCGCCCGAATGATTTCAGTTTTGGCCCCGGCATCCCTTAACAGACGACAGAGAACCGAATTAGAAGGATGTCCCAGTTTTGAATTAACAACACGAAGCTTTTCTTTCAGTTTGTCGGGCCCCCAACCTGCTTCATTCTCTTTAGAATCATGAACAAGTTCGATTCTTCCCCGTTTGCGGCTTCAGCATCCGGATCTTCCCCAAGATCCTCCACAAGGCAAAACTTCCTGTCTCCCTTCTTTTGAAAGAGACACTGCGATTGATACCTGGCTGACATCAAAAACTCTGGCAAAGGTTTCGTATGTCTTCACGGCTGCTGAACCAGCCCCAGGCCTTCTGCACAACATGTCCCGTTTTGCGCGCTTGTCATTTTGCAAATTGAATTCCATCGCAACGAAAACGGGGAGAACAGAGGGCGACACATTTCTGCCGTGACTTTTCCTTCCATGATGCAGCTCGCAGTGGCTGCTCACCTCTCACATCACCCCTGAGCTCTTGCACTTGCAACGCGCACAGCCGGTGACAGTGTTTCAGAATTCTTCTACCATGCTGTTGTTTCAAGACAAGAACATGAATTTGTTTTTTCGTCTGGTTCGCATTGTTCATGATCGTCCAAGGGTCGCACGGAGGTGACATGTGAAGGTACCTAGGTCTCAGTTGCCTTAGTGTTCGCATGGCCTTAGGCCTTAGCATCCGAATCGTGTCGAGACGTCATATCCATTGTGGGTTCCTAAGCGAACAACTATGCCACCCAAGTCCTCAACCGCTTGAGAGAGAGGGCAATCCCAAGCACCACACAGTTCACCTAAGATCAACCTGTTGGGTGAGACTTCGAAAGATACATACCACTTCTTCTTCTTTCTGAGAGGCCTGAGAGGCCATTTCCGAGAAGCACAAGCCTTGTTTCCTTGACACGTTCTTCCCACAACAGTCGCCTGAAGACGGATTCGCCATTGATGGCACGCCACTCGCAATGAAACATGCAGCTGAATTCACTACCGGATCAGACGGTTGGCATTGTCGCGGTCCACTCAAGCAGTCGTCCGGCTCGACGACTTGGTGGCGCTGTCGCTAAGGACTTGTAGCTTTGGCCAAGGACGCAGCAGGGCTGTGCACCAGCCGAGCCGGTTGCCGTCCTGAAAGTCATCAACCTTGAGCATCAGGCAATTGGTGGAAGCACGTTCCTGTCCGGTCTTGAAATCAATGAGAGCTCCCTGTTCTTCTAACCAGGGTGAGCTAAGAAGCATCGGTGTTGGTCCCTCGACAACGTGGATGGGGATTCTGACATTCTGTCCCCCGATCCCGACTGCGACCATATAGCAAAACCTAAAGCCTTGGACGTCTCATTGTTGCTGAAGATGAAGGTCCTTCGTTGGCTGCGATCAACTGAGACTTCCTGTTCTGGGTCCATCTCGTGCTTCTCATAGATGTCATAGATTGCCTGCAAGGTGTGTGCACCAATGATCGACTCACTGGCACCGCAATCCAAAATGGCTTTGGGGGTCTGACACTCTTGGATCACCGAAAAAATAGGTGCGCAGCTCTCTTCTGGCCTCTTTGGAGGCTCCTCAGTTGCTTCAGCAGTGAAAACAAAGCCCACATGTCCTGAGTCGACTTGAAGATCCTGCGATCACTTGCTTGCAGTCCATGGCTTTGTGGCCCACTTTGCCACAGCGCATGCAGCGGCCAGTGAACTTGCCCTTGGAGCTGCCTTTGTCTTTCCCTCTTCCTTTTCCTTTCTGGCCTGCGGGGTAAAAGCCACGAGAGACACAACTTTTGTCGAGGGCTTTCCGCGCATCTGTGTAAAATTGCTTCTTCGCTTCCGGGAAATTGGCAAAAACAGTTTCATCGCAAGGGTCTTCCAAAAAAGCTTCAGTGGCTTCTTCAAACCACACATGGCTATCTTCCACATCATCGGTTTCATTGGGCTCATCTCCACCTTCATTTGCTGAACTCATCCAGATGCTTTCCTCCCCCTCAGCCCCTTCATGGTTCAGGGCGCTGTCTTCTGTTGTCAGGAAAGTCTTGGGGGCCGGGTTCTTTCGATGGTGCTCCCTGTCCTTCATCGTCCGGCTTTCACCGCCCCACATTTTTCGCATGGCTGTCATCACATCTTCAAGCCGGTATGTGGCAGCTTGAGCCTTCACCATCGCTATGTCCGACGGTTCCAGGCGAAGATGCCTGCTTGCTGATGGCGAACCAGCCATAGATTTCGGATGGGACACGCTCCTTGATGCCCATCTCAGTCATGGCCTTCGAGATTTCTCTGACCAGGACAGCATGACGTTGTTCAAGTCATTGAGGTTCTCTTGGTCTCTTCGGTAGGCCTCGCCCGTCTGAAAGAACTGCTGCAGGGCGTCACCAAGGAGATCCACTTGCTGCTTGCCACGCTTGTCACGGAGAAAGTCGAGCAGGTATTGCACGCCTTCCTTCGTCTTCAGCTTGTCACGATCTATCTCGAGGCAAGCTTCCCAAGCCAGAGAAGTCAGGTTCTTTCATCTTCTTTGCAGCCATCTACTTCCAGAAGAGGTGAAAAGTGATAGTCCGGAAACGTCTTCCAATTGCCGTCCCATGTCGGCAGCTTTGGATTGATTCCGTCACTTGGTGATGCACCTGAGGCCATCTGGAGTCCAGCGCTCAACAGAACCGAACAAGAGAGTGAAAGGGCCGCGGATCGCAACTGGCTCCGTTACCAGTGTTGATGCACTGGTAACGGAGCTTCAAGACTGGTCGCTGTCGAAACGTGAACAGCAGCTAAAAATGAGCACTACGAAGGATCGAGAGAACTCAAGAGCACGCTGTTTCATGGCTACGGGCAACGGTGCGCGTGCACAGCTGACTGAGCTGAATGCCACGATTCCGCATGGCTCTTGGTTTCAAGTCGAGTCAATATTGCACAATCAACACCAAGGGACAGCCAGACCAAATTCACTACAAAATGAAGGTTCTAGCGTTTTAGGCGGCACCTCCTCATTTTCTAATGGCTTTGGTGTCTCGACCAAGCATGCCAGAAATGGAAAGATAGGGTACCCAAGGGGCAGCCAGACAAGATTCACTAGAATATGAAGGTTCTAGGGTTTTAGGTGGCACCTCCTCATTTTATGTTTTATGTGTACGTTTCTAGCTCTTGGATTTATGTTTCTATATCTTGATATATTGCACTTTATGCTTCTAGATCTTGAATATGTCAAAATTATATGTTTTTTGTTTGCTATGTTTTATGTAACACTCTACAGCTGAGGAAAGAGTCACACACTCCATGTGGAATCACATGTTGAGCACAACAACCATCCTGCATACCGCAGGCCGTCAAACGCTCAAGAGAAAAGAGCGTGAAGTGTTAGATGGTAGCGGAGCTGTGATCCCGATCTCTGAGGACCTCGGGTGAGCTCCAGGGGGCACGACCCGATCCCCAGATCCCCGCAACGCCATAGGTTGGCTAGCAGCTGAGCCTTTGCAGCTGAGCAGCTGGCAGCTTCACAGCAGCGCAGCTGGCAGCAGCGGTGCAATCAGAGCAAGAGGTGGTGGAGGAGGCTGACGCCTCATGGCTGGCATGGAGCAAGTGGTGGGAGAGCTCCATGGGTTCACGAGAGTTTGCGCCCAGACTCTCCAGAAGCTTGGAGAGAAAGAGAAAGAGAAGGACGGCAGCAAAGCCGATCCAAGGACCCTTTTGAGGTCTCCAGGGACTGTCGATGAGGAGCATTGAGGAGGAGTTCATGAACGACCTGGAGCACGTGGAGAAGGACTTGGAGCAGGACCTGAAGTTGAACGACTACAAGGAGGAAGTTCAGAAGAGAGCGAAGAAGCTGTATGCCTACTTGGTCAGCTTTGTGAAGGGGCGACCACTTCGGATCGTCCGGAGTGTCACGGACACTGATGGCTTTCGAGCCTGGCAAGGGCTTTGTCGGGAATTTCAACCCAAGACGAGAGCTTGGAATCATCCAGGCATTGGTGGCCTTTCCGCAGTTCGAGAAGGGCAAGATCCTGGAGGGGATTATGAAGTACGAGAAGCTGGTCGGCAAGTACGAACGACTGGCAGGAAGCTCCTTGGATGAGAATTTGAAGATAGCAACGGTCATGCGTTGTTGTCCGGGGCAGCTGCGACAGCATTTGCAGCTGAATGTGAAACCTGGCACTCGGTATGCACAGGTTAGAGAGTCGATGGTGGCCTACGAGCAATCTACGGCTGCCTGGTCAAGCGCCAAGATCCTCGAGCACAACCAGATTGTGCCAATGGAGGTGGATCGCATCAAAGGCGACCACAAAGGAAAAGGCAAAGAGAAGGGTAAAGGAAAGAAAGGCTCACCCAAAGGAAAGGATGACAAAGGAAAGGGCAAAGGCAAAGGAAAGAGCTCTTTTGAGAAGGGCAAAGGAAAAGGTGGCGGCAAGAGTCAAGAGAAAGGAAAAGGCAAGTCTAAAGGAACTCGCTTTGTGTGTGGCAAACCTGGCCACAGAGCTGCGGAGTGTTGGCAACGTGGCCAACAAGTTCAACAAGTTGAAGGGCATGATCAGGGAGATCATGGAGGAAATGGAGGGCAACCTTCTGGACCTTCCACGAGGACTTCATCGTCTTCAGCAAGTACAGCACCGAGCAGCACCTCGTACCGAAGCGCTGGCACGGTGAGAAGGGTGTGGGAGATCAAGACACCTCCCATGGTTGAGACCTGCGAGATTTTCGATCTTGCAGCAGAAGAAGGTGAGATAGACATTGAGGAGAGCTTCACTGAAGGCAGATGGTGGTGACCGAGGAGGACATGGTTGAGCACTTTGACCTCACCAAGACTGACATGGACGACTACTGGACCATGGAGGATGACTTCACCCAGGAGACCGACCTCAACGACTACATGATGGACTACAACGACCTCTTCGAGAACGTGGACTTCATCACCCTCGAGACCTCTAAGGTTGAGACCTTTGAGATCCAGGCCATCTGCGAGTTGGACCTGAACTACAACGCTGTACTCGACTTGGGTGCAGATGTGAGCGTGGTGCCCATGAACATGGGTAGCTTGGGCAAGAGGACCCAAGGTGGAGCATTGCTTCGAGATGCTCAAGGCAGAATGATCCCTGTTGAAGGGAAAGTTGCAACGACTTTGCATTGCATAGCAGCTGATGGACAACTTGTCAAGCTGAAGGAGATCTTTGTGGTGGCCAACGTGAAGCAACCGTTGGTGGCTATGGGCAAGTGGATGAAGAAAGGCTGGATGATCCAGAACGTCAAGGACAAGTTCTACTTGCAGAAGGGTGACTACTACCTCCCTTTGGAGTGGCAGCGCAACACCCTGACTCTGAGCTTTGGCTTGGAGGAAGAGAAGGTCAGCTATGTCATGGACGTGTCTGACGAGCTCAAGGCCATGGCTGAAGAACCTGGCTGGCATGAGTTGAGTGATGGCACACCTGTTTTTGTGGTCAAGAACGCATTCACTTTCCAGGACATCTCAAGAAAGTATGATCCTTACCAGTTTCCTTGCAGAACAACACTGGTGAAGTTGGAGAGTGGCGAGTACGACTGTGTGGAGAGCGCGCAGTTCTGGGTAGACAGAAAGATGTCAGAGTTGGATGGCATCTCACCATGCACAACCCTGACTTTGGTGCATGAGAAGGCATTGTTCCCTCACGAGATTCAGGAGCTCTATGGAAAGCAGATCCCTCCTGAACTTCTACAAGATGATCTTCATGCACAACTAGGAGGTCCCGCTGAACCACGATTTCTACCTGGAGAAGCAGAACCTGTTCCTGAAGAGATGCAGGCTGAAGAACCTCAAGGAGGACCGCATGAACCAGAGCAACTGGTCTACGACGAGGTTGGAGATGACTTCGCGATGGTGAATGGCTTGAAGTTGACAACTGCAAGCTCGAGAAAAGTGATGAGAGATGCTTGCGAGTTCCTTGGAATCCCTTTGAGTGGGAGCAAGGCTGTAGTCTTCAGAAGGCTACAGGTGGCAGTGAGAGAAACAGCAGCAAAAGCAGCACTTGATGCAGCTCGCAACGAGAAGAGGGCAATGGAAAGACGACCTCAACAAGCAGAAGTACCTCTAGCCCCTACAGATGAGGAGAAGCAAAGACATTTGCTCACACACGTTCCTTTTGCAGATTGGTGTGAACACTGCCAAGCAACAAGGTCAAAAGACAATGAACGACGAGAACAAGTTTGTCCTACAGTGGCTTTGGACTACATGACAACGAACACCACGATTCGCAAAGAAAGTCCAGAAGTCAAGCATTTGGTAGCAGTGGACAATTGGTCAAAAGCCATTTTGGCTGTGCCAATCAAGGCCAAAGGTGGTGCAAGCGTGAAGCTATGTGCCAATGCAATTTGTGGCTTTGTCAGGGACTATGACAAGGTGATCATCAAGGGCGACCAAGAACCTTCCTTGAAGCAGGTGATGAAAGCAGTAGCTGATGCGAGAAGGCTGTTGAAACTTCAAACAACACAAGAGTTTTCACCTCAAGGCAGATCAGCATCCAACCCTGCAGAACGAGCAATTCAGACAGTGAGAAGGTTAGGCAACACCTTGCTGGAAAGCATCCGTGTTGGATGTGGAATCGAGATTCCCGCTTCACACCCGTTGTTTGTTTGGTGCTATGCCCATGCACCATGGTTGTACAACAGGTTCCATGTTACACCTGGTGGCAATACACCATTTGAAGTTGTGACTTCCCGCACTTACTCGGGGAAGCTGGCACCTTTTGGAGCATGTGTTTATGGACAACCACTTCCAGTCCCGAAGAACACCCGACGAGGAGTTCCAACATGGCGGAAGGGAATCTATGTGGGCAAGTTGATGGATTCAGACCTCAACTTCCTGTTGTCGCCTAATGGATTGTTTGTGACGAGAGCAGTCCGAAGATGTGCCGACGAATGGCAACCAGAGTTCCTCATGGCTTGTCATGGATTGCCATGGGATGATGTAAGCTCACGAAAGTTTGGTCCTACGACCAAGGTCGACAAGAAGAGAAGCCTGGAAAGCCAGACCTTTCCTGGACTACAAGATGACGAGGCTAAAGCAGTTGAAGAGTATGCACGACGACGAGCAGAAGAAGCCTTGGCAAAACCTTTTGGTGAGCTAGAAGGAAGTGATGAAGAGTACCTTGATGACAAGGACTTGAAGGACAAGCAGAAGAAGGAGACTGAGCTGAAGAAGCCTGGTGATGGAGAACGAGAACAACCAGTTCCCTACACGCCGGAGAACCTCCCGTACACTCCGACGGAACCTCCGGATGATTTGGTCATGAAGGATGCAGAGCAAGACCCGCAACATGCAGGAGGAGTTCGTGATGAACCTCAAGGCGGACTACATCCTCAAGTTCCTCAACAACCTGGTGGACTTCAACATCCTCAAGGAGAACTTCGACCTCATGGTGAACTTCCTGGAGAAGAACCTCCCACGAAGAGTGCACGAACAGAGCCGGTCAAGAAAGCAAAGGTGGAATTTGCAGTTCCCCTGAGAACATCCCCATCGTCTTCACCAATGGCAAGCAGCTTAGCAGCAGCACCTTCATTTGCAGGTGGCATCCAAGAAGTGGCTTTGGATGAGCAGGAGTTCGTCGAGGTGGACGAATACCCTTTGGTGGACCTCAACGACTGGGGTGAGTTCAATGAGATTGACCTCGAGCAGGAATCTGAAGAAGCTGGACCTCCAGATGTCTCTGAAGAGATGTTGGCGCAGTTGGAGCTGGAGGCAGATGAGCGAGAGATCACAAGGCTCAAGGAGATGGGAGTCCTTATTCCCAAGGATGGCAACTTTGAGGGCTACAGGTTCCTGACGACCAAGAAGGTTTATGACTGGAGATGGCGCCTGAAGGAAGAGACTGGCAAGTTTGGCTGGATGAGACGGTCAAGACTGGTTGGCAGAGACTACAAGTTTCTTTCGCCTGAGATGGAGAATTTGTTCAGTCCCACAAGCAATGCAATTGGAGTGAAATTGTGAGCAGCCTTCATTCAATCGAGCCAAGGAGAACTTGGTCTATGGGCAGTCGATGTCAAGGACGCCTACCTCATGGTACCCCAGGAGGAGAAGGTCTATGTGGAGTGCAATGGCGAGTTCTTTGAACTTGGACGATGTCTTCCTGGACAACGAGTTGGTTCCAAGGCATGGTATGACCACTTAGGCAAAGTGGCAAGAGACCAAGGGTTACAACCATATCCTGCAAACCCCGCAGTCTTCTACAAGGTGGGCAGGACACCCCTGGTGATGTCTTCACACGTTGATGACCTACAGCTGGTTGAAGTCAACAAGATGTTGAGAAGCTCCTTGACAGCTTCAGAAAGCAGGAATGGACACTGCAAGTGCAAGGACCCTGTTCACCTAAGGTTGCAGGGCAATGCGCATTCCTCAAGAGGCATTTTGCTTCTGAGGGATCTGGTTCAATGACTGTGAGGATGGACCAGAAGTATGTGAAGAAGTTGGTGGACTTGTTGAACCTGCACGTGAACAAGGGCAAGCAGACGCCTACAACTGGCACCTTCCAAAAGGGACTACAAGGACAACCTCTTTCCAGAGAGGAGTCGAGCCTCTACAGAACATGTGTTGGCATTTTGCTGTACATGTCAACAGAAAGGCCAGACATCGAATGCGCAGTTCGACAGTTGGCTTCGAAGGTCACAGGACCTGACACCCTGGACCAGAAGGAGTTGAAGCAGTTGGTGCTCTACTTGAAGCACACGGCTGACTACGTCCAGGAGATGAAGCAGAGCTTTGCAATGGCTTCGGCTATGGGAGAAAGAAATGATGATGTGAAGATGGCTGCAACACAGCATCCGAGCCTACTTGAAGTTTTCACGGACAGCGACTGGGCATCGGACAGAACTACAAGGAGATCTATGTCATGCAGTCACATGTACCTCAACGGCATCTTCTTTTGGAGTGCAAGCAGGAGCCAGAAAAGTATAGCTTTGTCAAGTTGTGAGGCTGAGTTCATTTCAGCAGTCAGCGGCATGGCAGATGGGATCTACATCAAGCGAATGTTGGAGGCCGTGCTGAACATGAAGGTGGTCTTGGAGTTGAGGATTGACAGTTCCTCTGCTCGAGCGCTACTACAACGACGAGGAGTACAGAGAACCCGACACATAAGCACTGGACTTTTGTGGGCGCAGCAGAAAGTTGAAGAACGAGAAGCTGCAATTCGACCTGTGCCGGGAAAAGAGAACAGCAGCGATTTGGGAACGAAGAGTCACAGCAGCAAGAGACTGAGATTCTTGCTAGGCCTCATTGGCTACTTGGAGTTCGCTGGTGGACCACGAGTTGGAGCCCAAGAAGAAGAGATTCGACATGTCAAAGGACTCAGACCTGAGAGAGTACAACAACTGACATGTTTGCTGTTGGCGGCTTTGAGTCAGCAGGGCAACGGAATGGAAGTCGAAGAGGCGACCAGTAGTGACAACAACCGTGAAATTTTCCTGATGGTTTTCACGGCAAACGCAGTTTTGTTTGTAGCCATGGGATTGGCTATGAGCGTGCAAGGTTGCGACTTAGCGCTGATGGTGCTTCATTCGGCTTCGATCGGCCCGACTGCTGGAAAAAACCCTGCAGGTGCTGTGCACTGGACGATCGGGTAGTGAGGACGAGGATGTTGTCGCTCCCCCCTTCATCCATCGGGAGCCATTTTTCAATCTGCCGATACGCAGCAGTAGTCGCCTCTGGTGGAGGCGCTGCTCGAGCCGGGTCATCATGTACCCAGTTGACAAAACGGAAGCTACCAGATCTTGCAGACAGGCATGATGATGGTGGCATTCAATGTAGTGGTCTTCATCCTGTTCTACCTCAGGGACTACTTCAACCTACGACCTGTTCAAGGTGGAGAATTTCAACGAGAACCTCACCTCCTCAAGATCCTCATGGAGATGGTCAAGAACGAAAGGTCAAGCAGACAAGATCCAATCTGTTTCGAGAACCAGCCGGACATGATCCAGATGTCAACCACCTACTACTTGAAGGAGAAGAAGAAGGTGATGGACAAGGAGAAGAAGAGTTACCACAACTCGAGAACCTCACGGGGACAGCCTACACCTCTGGTGGAGAACCCACTGAAGATGAGTTCACAGAGGACGCCATGGACACAGAGGACGCCATGGATGTGGACGATGACGATGTCATCGCAACAGTTGAAGACTGGGACCCTATAAGTCAAGAAATGGCAACGTACAGAGTTCTTCGACATCGAGCTCAAGCATTTCCTGGAGAAGAGTACTTCCTGGACATTGATGGACGTCTAGAACGCCATGGAGGATTTGGAAGCTTGAGTGGAGAAGAATCTGAAGAAGAACAACCTTCTACAGCAGATGACCAACCTGCTGAAGAACCTGAAGGCAGTGGATCTGAACAAGTTCTACGTGTGGCAGGAGAACGTGGCGGAGAAGTGACGGACGCAGTTAGTGAACTTCGACGACATGCAGGCCTACTTCAAGAGCTGGGAGAACACCCAGAGTGCTACATGGAGTACAACATGCCTGGCATTGTGTTCTGGGTAAATCCGGACACTGGTGAGATCCAGATGCACCGACTCCTCGACCTCACGATCGACACCCCTGAAGATGGCGAGGAGTACTTCATCGAGAACCCCAACTGGAGGAGAGATGGTGGAAAATGGTTGATCAGGCGACTTCACTATGAGCCTGAGCCAGAAGAGGAAATCCCTGAGTCTCCAAGAGGCTATGGCTGGGCCCTTGGAACAAGAGAGTGGATGGACCACGTGCGAGAAAGGAGAGCAGCTGCAGAACGAGAAGCTCTAAGACAGCAAGTCGAGCAGGCAGAAGCAGCTGGGTTGAGGCAAAGGCGCTGAGGAGCAATCAATGCAGGTGAGCAATCTCTGCTGGTGATCGAGCACCTGGCAAAGAAAGCAATCAATGCCAGAGATCGACAAGCTGGCAGACACCTGAGAGTTTTGAGTTGGAAACGGCTACAGTACGTCGTGTCCAAAGGAGGAGTGTAACACTCTACAGCTGAGGAAAGAGTCACACACTCCATGTGGAATCACATGTTGAGCACAACAACCATCCTGCATACCGCAGGCCGTCAAACGCTCAAGAGAAAAGAGCGTGAAGTGTTAGATTTTACTTAAACTCGTCTTGACTCATCATGATTCATCATGTTTGCTAGAAAATGAGGATACAGGTGGGAAACAAGGTGATGTCTAGAAAATGACCCTGCCAGCATGCCTATGAGACCTGTGTTTCGCATTTTCTAGTGACCTACAGGTCACTAGAAAATGCACTGCCTGAACCCTTCCCGGTGAGTTTACCTCCTTGAGACTAAAGAATCCCCGTTTGCTACAAACGTCAACCCCTCCCATTTTCTAGTCCGAATATCATGGGGGACTATATAACTAGTTACTATAATTGATATTGCGCAGGCGGCAGTCTAGAAGGAAGAGGGAGAAATGCTGGACAACTCCTGCACACGCTGCACCAGTGTTCGGAGAGAGTCCATCTCCCAATGTCGATATCTTTCACCAAACCTGCGCACTTTCTCACGCAGCGGCCACATCGTCGGAAGACGTCCAAAACGGGAAGGAGGACATAAGAAGCGCTTCGGCTGAGGTATCTACAAACGATGATCCACAACCTGCTCACTCTGAAAGCCTTCTTGGAGCCCTTGTCTTGCGGTGACATTGTCTGAAATTTCCAAGAGTGCCGAGGCCGCATCTATCAATCTAGCTGTGCCAGTACATCATATGCACAAGGATGATTGGCTTTCCTTTCAACCCAATATTTGGCGTACAAAAGTTTGGGTCTGCTTCGTTTCGATAGTGTCTACCCTGCCCCGAGATCTACAATTCTGCCGGCATCACCTCTGTACCTGGCGCATAAAGCTGTAAAGGCAGGAGCTGCGTGAAGGCATTTCTTGACTTACCCTTGTGACGCTGCTTGTCCCACTACAAGGCTCATCTACCAGAACTTGTCACCCCCAATAGGTACACACCATAACGACAAAGTGTGCCCAAAGGAGACGAGAAAAACCAAACAGCGCTTCCGTCAGGAAGACCAGCAGCAACATCACAAATACGATCAAATACGTATACAAAGCGCTGACACCAAGCCAATTGAAACTACTGTAATCAAGCCAACAGCAAGGAAGGAGCCCAAACATGTCGACACTGGGGCCAAACATGAATAATGAGACAGTACTCAGTCATCATGTGGCAGAATATATACTTGTGATCTGACATGAAGACTGCTCAAAACATCTCAAAACATTCATCAGCTGCACATATTTCCACCAGCATTGGACGCCTTTATGGGCCCGTACTTGCATTGAATTGAATGGTCTGCCAGCCCAGGACCGCGCACACAGCCCAGTTCTGGGGTTAAACTTGTCTCCCACGGCGCCTGGGTCTAAAGGACCCAAAGCCACTTAACGCAGGCGCTCAGCACTCAAGGTCTACACAGGCCAACGCCGTCAAAAAGGCGGCCAAGCAAATCTGTGCAGTGAAGGCATTCCCTGCCATGTCGCTGAGCTGCATCGCTGACAGGTGCGTCTCCTGTGCGACAAGTCTGCAGGGCACGTTGAGCCACACTCCCATCCCGACCGGGCCCTGTCAGAATACTTTGTCCACCTTCAGCATCAGTCTTGCCTAAATGCCTCCTGCAAAAGGCGAAACTCCAAACCCTGGTGTTCCAACAGATTGTAGAACGCCAAAGAAAATGAATTTCCTTTGGTTCAAAGCTGCGCTTTCCATCAGGATTGTGCATGGCAAGTGCCTGCCATGGTACAGCTGTTTGCCGTTTGAAGTTTCAACTTCTAGAACGTCGGGCAACAAATGTGACCCCACAACGTCGGGGGACCATATTGGGGGTCAGATTTGGCGGCCAGCGCAAAGACTGCAAATAAACATGCACACCGAACCTTGTGAGCAAGGAAAATCCTCAATAGTGTGATGTGTTTCTCTTTCGCACTTCAATATAGAGAGCCTTTGGTTAAAAGCTGCACATCTAGTGGCTCGCTCGACGTGGTGAAGTGAGTAGACGACCTGTTTTGAACGCCCCGCTACCATGGTCAAGCAGCTAAGATACGCCAAGTCACCATAGCATAGCCGTCAACCTCTGCAGGGCCAACACCTTGAAGAAAACATTTCTCTCGTGTTCCTGGCCAGGGGGCAATCTGGAATACCGCAAGCACCCCAAGGACATTGCGTATTGAGATGCGTATTGTGCCTTTCCGTCGTGACATTGCTTCATTACTCATGCTCATGATGCCGAAGTGTAGACATTGTAAGGACAACGCACTTCGGGCCGACACAGTTCCTCCGCAAAAAGAACACCCTGAAAAAACAAAGTGCGTTTGTTCCGTTTCTCTTCCTAAGCAAGCATGGGTGAAAATCCTGCCGCCGAAGGCCGTCCACGTGTTCGTGGACACTCACGCCTAGCAGTCTCCAACTGCGACCTGTGACGATGTACTTGCCCTGGGGGATCACGCACGGTGCCAAGCGAAAATCTGTACGGTGGCTACGTCCGAAGTTCTGGTCCACTTGGATCACCTCAGCAAAGCGCTGAAGGATCGCAACTCGGCCGCCTACACATTACACGTCTTGGCCCGACCCCCGCCGACAAACCCTACAAATCCTATACAGTATATATATATATATATACGAAGAATCTTGGCAAGCCAAGCACGGAAATTAAAAAACACAGAAAACAACTGAGTTGTGTTTTTTTCTGTGGTGTGGGGCTTATACACTGGGTCTGTACCTACGCGGGCGCCTACGCCTGGGCTCCCCTCTCAAGCAAATGCCTACGCGAGAGGTTCTCTTTGTTAGGTACCTACGCGGATGCCTACGCAGGGTACTGTCACCAACTTTAGTCACATCAGGTGACTCGAAAAGAGCTATATATAATCAGCAAGTAGTGGCCGATGCGACCGGGTCACATCAGGTTCCTGTTTCCAAGGCCTTTACAGCTTTGCCACCGATGGCCAGATATCAAGCCAATCCAATTACAGTGTGGAAGCAGCAGCACACAAACAGCACACAACAAGCAGCAAACAATCAGCAGAAAACAAGAGGCAGCAGCAGCTGCAGCAGCCAAGCAGCAGCCAAGCAGTAGCAGCAGCCAATAGCTTCTTGCCTACGCGCTGCTTCCGCGAGCGCCTACGTGGGGCCTATGCGAAAGTAGGTCCATCGATTATGGTACCAACAGGGTTTGCACACTTGTGGCTCAAGAGCCGGTGTGCCAGACCAAGCACGATCAAGCTCTTGACCTCAAAAACCTATGTGCCCCCATAGCTTCAGGCTTCGACAAACAAACTTCAAACATCCACTGCAGCCATGCCATTACAATTTTTTTCCTTCCCCACTGGAATTTGCAAGCAAGTGTCAAGTTAGACAACTACAAGCCAACATGATCTTTCCCCAAGACCCTTGAACAACCTTTAAAGAAGTCTGAATAAGAAAACTCATGTTTTATCATGTTTTCATTAAAAGTGTGCCTACGCAAGACTGCCTACGCAAGTCTTTCAACACCCACCTACGCAAAATGCTTACACGACGCCTATGCCCCAAGCAGAACAGCCTCCACAACTTCTCAACAGTTCCCTTTTTGTATAAACGTAATCATTTGCAAAAAAACGTGGCTCAATTGGGAATATGTTCATCTGTTCATCGTTTTGCGAAAAGCACTTTTGTTTGGCGAATGCCTCTGGCGACGAGCGCATGGCTGCCGACTGTCTGAAGCGACAAAGCTCTGTGTCGGGTTTGCTCTGAAAGTTTTGGCCTTACTCTAGTCAAAAACTTGCATCCCAAATGCAAGCCCTTGTCTACTGCAGAAACTCAGGAGGCGCTGTGCCTCTTCTGCAGCGGGCTCCCCCAACCGCAATTCCTAAAAAGGTACAAACTTGATGAACTGCGAAGCTTCCCATCCACGCAGCAGCATATCCAGCTTACATTTTCTGACAACCTCTCTCTCTGCTCTGCTGACAATGTGTCCGCTTGGCACGCGACAAAATAGTAATGCTTGCTGCGCTCAGCGTCAGCAACGTAGGCAGCAAAGCCACACGAATGCATTACAATTGATTCCCCTTGTCTGCTGCACATACGGCACATATGCCATATGCTACCTGATGTTGCTTGCTATGGAGATGTTACCTGAACATGATGTTGGACATCAGTCTTTCTTGCGTATCATCTCTGTTACTCGCCGTTTTGTTGTAACTATCTAAACTACAAACCTTGCGCGCGGTGCGGGAATTGCGTTTCGCCTTGCGCACCTGTTACAGTACTCGTCGTTCTTTTGCAACTGAGGTGAGGAAGAACTTGTGCATCGGAACTGTATATCGCCCTTGGGCGTCCGTTGCTCGTCGTTCCTTTGTAACTGAGATGAGAAAGCATGAGCATGTAACCCTGCACAGCTCCGTACGCAACAAATTGCAGCGGAATAAACACCTTTTCTCCCCGCGGTGGATCGCGCAACCCCACATCAAATGACAAGTATAAGTAGAATCCTCCTCATCAATCACTGATGTCTGTCACCACTGGCCCGCAACGCGGGCAGCAAAGCCACACAAAGCCGCACGAAACAGTCCCCTCAAAAGCAAATTCGCCACCGGGCTAAATTCATTAAAAAAGAGGGTGCTCAGGTATTGCTCGAATATATTTTACCCAGTGTACATAAACAGTTCAGGTCGAGAGTCGAGAGTTAGCATAGACAAGTATGCCTAAGTTCAAGACTTCGAATTGCCGCATAGATAGTAACTAATATCAAGACTTGCGTGGCAAGTGAGCCAGAAGGAGTTTTCCAAGTACCTTCCGGCTTTTGATGGCATTGAAGGTCTGACTTGGCCTTTCGACCTTTCGACCTTACGCCAGTGTGCACTTGTGCAGTCCAGATTTGCTAGCGCGCTGCAGGTCAGATTCGTTTGTCCCTGTTGTCGAAGACCTTTGGTTTCTCCATTATATCACAGATCAGAGCCGTTGATGATCTTTTGTTTCGTGACCTTTCTTGAAAAGGGCGTGAGGTAGCAGCTAGTTGTTGATGGGTCAGGGCAGAGGAAGTTATGAATGGATCAGGGCAAAGGAAGTTTTGATTTTTTTGAACTTAGCTACTGTCTACGCCAATTGCCGCATCAAATCCTTCGCAGCACTACGCCATTCTGCGCACCTACGATCTACTGCCTCTTCCATGAATTCCTCTTGCGTAGCTAGCCATCATTCTGTCCTGCTTCCACCAATGAAATAGCTCAGAGATCCTTCTCTGAAACCTTTTACGCAAGCCTTACATTGCGGAAAGCAACGTCAAACCTACACTTGCTGCCGTGTGCCACAGACCGCTTCCCGCGCTAAATTTGCACTACAAACTCCCCGCAACAAAAGTTGCATGCAGCCTGCCACGCAGCACACGCAGAAACCGTCCCGAAACCGTGCCGCAGTGAGCGTCTCAAACAACATTTACTGAGAAAACAGAGGGATTCGCACAGCGCCTTGCTCACCTTCAACCGCACACTCACCTGAATCTTCGACGACCGTTGTACACACATTGGCAACTTCCGACCGTAACACACATTGGCAATTTACACCTCGATCTTCGACAACGGTTACACACCTTGGCCACTTCCACCTTGATTTCGACGACGGTTGCACACTTTGGTGGTTATCGACTTCAGTTCAGTTACACACTTTGACAACCAACTCCGACCTTGATTCTCGACAACAGTTTCACACTTTGGCAACTTCCACCTTGATCTTCGACGCTAACTGTGCTACGAGCATGGTGGCTAAGTCACATCAATCGGATTGTCACATCATCCCAATGGTACGGCCTGAAAAGTTGGAAGTCACATCAGGGGCCCAAAAGTCACATCAGAAAATGAACTTCTGCATGGCACAGCCACAAACCGCTACTATGAGGAGTTTTGTATGAACAACTGCAAACATTGCGCACAACAGTAAATCCTGACACATTCTGACTTGTTCGAATGAAATTTGAAGGTAAATCACATTGGCACAGCCAGTATTGGACCTTTCCACATACTTTTTGGAAAAACGTAGACGTAGCCCCTATTGGCACAAGCACAAGAAGATGCTCATGATTTTCCAAGGTAAGATCTAAAACCCTATGGCACGCCGCCAGCAGACTATCTTACTATGTCAACAGTCAAACCTGGTGGCACAGCCGCGCATTGTGAATTGCAGACCCTGAAGCTGCCCCACCATTTTCTGTTCTCCTATGCCTTCTGCGCATCCAAGCGCATGCTTTTCTTCTCTCTGTTTCCGGCTCACTTCTGCGCAGGCTTCGCCATAAACTTGGATTTTCTCCGTTTCCCCCAACAGGTCAACCAGTCTAGGCGCTTCTTGCGGCTGCTAGTGATATCAACCAAGTCAGCCCTGAAATGATGGGCCAAGGGTGCCTTCGGCGCACGTTTCTTGAGTGATTCAATGTCAAAAGCTGCTATACTGGGAATGGTGATTCCACACTTCACCAGATTCCACACTTCACCAGATCACTGTGTGGAAATCCTTCCTCCAGAATCTCAACACAATGGCTGGCATTGTTCTTTTTCTGCGAGACAGCTCTACATTCTAAGCACTGCCGCAAGGTTGGAGACGAATCTGGCGGGGGATCTGCTGGCGGAGGCAATGGGGGAGGCGAAGGTTCTCTAGTGATGGGCTTTGGAGAGGCCAAGCCAGCTGATGTCTGCAAAGCCGGCTCTTGCTCCTCCACATTCTCAAATTCAACCTCTTGCTTGGATTGACAATGAAAGCAGCATCCTGGCATAGGGCCCCGTTGTCCGCAGAAATAGCCGAGCCGCACACCATGCAACCTGCACGTTGAGCTTGAGCCTGGTTTTCCGAAACATTGCGCGCAAAGCGCGCCTGGCAGTACCCACGCAAGCAGCTGGAATTCTGCGGCAGCACTCGACACACGCTAGCACTGCAAGCGAGCTGGCAGCCGCAGGGCCACCCAGCTCTCCTGGCAGCGCCAAACCAGGCGACCGAGACTGCTCTTCATAATGGATCCGATGAAGGGTGAATACGCCGGATAGATCAGCAGGAGGGATGATGACATTGAAGGTAAGGGCGGTCATGGTGATGCGGTGATAATGAGCAGCCGGTGGAAGTAAATCAACAGCTCACAGATGAGGATTCAACATTCAGCAAGGCTGCCCTGCGACAAAGTCACACAGAGTACTGTCTAGACGCCCCATTAGAGCACCAGGTTGGAGCCTTCATTTCAGCACCACCTTGCTCCAACTGAAATGGATGAGGGCCCTGGCACGAAATTGTATTCCGAAACAAAGTCGACTGCAATTACAACAACATCCAATAGCTTCGCCAGCCAAGACACAGCTGCGTACCAAGCATTCGGTCGGCACTGCAGGAGGATGCTTCGCCATAAGTGGAAACAAAAACGTCACAAAGGCCTAACCTGCAAATATTTGCGCACACGAAAGTCAAGCCGAACTTGCAAGGAACACCGTTGTGTGCAGTCAAGTAGTCTAAACAAATCCCTTGAACAATATTACTGAACATTTTTGCACTGGAACGCCAAATGCGCCAGCATCCCTACTATAGAGCAAATGGCAACGGATCCAAGGCCGTCAGATTCAATCATAGAAAGCTGCAACTTTTACCTAGCGCACAGCCAAAAAAAAAGATGTAGGTTTTACAAAGTTCGAATCTTACAAATCTCAACTCTTGCCTAGCGCACAGCCTCCCGATACGACTTTCCAGGGGTTGAGACGACTCATACGACTTAAGCCGACCGCTAGTAGCTCCGAACTTACATTTACAATCATCCACGGACATATTTAAAGCCAAGGCTCCACCTGCCGCTCCTCCAAATCCACGCCACGGCTCTCCAGTTGATATGCTGCTAAAGCCACCACATGGAGCTCCCGCGCAGTCAACTTCAGATTGCGGGCCGTGACCTCACGCAGCTTCGCGCCAAGCCGAGCCTAGGTCGGGCAAAGTGTTGAATGCAAATTGCTCAAAACAGAATCCTTTTGTTTGTTCAAGGCCTCCAGGTGAGGCAAATGCTGCAATCACTGCAATCCCATTTTGGTATCCATTGGCTCCTGTCAAACTACATTTGCTTCAACCAGGCACCTGATCCAGCGATTTGCTGAGCTCCTCAAATTGTTTTTGCCACTTGGCCTGCCGCTGCCCTGTCGCAGCTCTGCTCATCCTCGGCCTTGGACCGGCTGCTGGTTCCGCAAAGATGTCTGCGCACTCATGATCTGCTCGCTCAGCCAAAGGCGCTCAAAAAAAGGCAATAAAGCTTCGCCAATTACAATGACCGCAACAAAACAGAATGAGAGCAACTGACCAGTTGTCTTGCGACGCTACAAATGCAACGACTGCAGACCGCCGGGCCCGGAAGACTTCCTTTGCGGCAATAGCACCTTGACAAATGTTGTGAACCCCTCACCTCGCTGCCCTTGTCCAACAAGCAGCTGCTCCGGCTCAGTTTGGAGGATCTGCTCTATGGGCATTAAGGCACATTTGAAGGACCTTGTGCGTCGGGACAGGGAACTTCTGCTAATATATACCTTCCTTGATACATGAGGGTTTTGAGTTGTTTGGAGGATAGAAGTTTTTTGCGAAAAAACTTTCTGAGAGTAACCTCGGAAGTGGCAGTGCAGTGGTTGTCATAAATGTACCCATTTCAAAGAACGGCCTTTCAAACAGGATGCAAAAATATATTGGACGCATCTGCTTCATCAGCATGTGCACTCTTGAAATACAAACTCCAAGATCTCCGTCGGCTTTGCGGTGGACCAAACCTTGGAAGCTCCGAACCCTGACCATTCACCGGCGAAAAATGCAGATTCATGGAAGCTTTTCAACGCACCGGTGAAGCAACATCTTGCAATGCAGGCTCTCCATAAGCAACCAAAGTCTTTGAATCTTTGAGAAGCAACAATGCCACATGTTTACTATGTTGATACAACGAAATGCTTTGTGGAACCAAAGTCCTGGAGCTCCTATGGTTCATGCTATATTGCGATTGGCAAGCGCAGTCAAATTATGAGAATAATCCCACCCCATCAAACCAATGTTATAGTCCTGTCGCTCCCAGAACTTCATGCCAGGGTAGCTCATGCGAGGAGACGCAATGAGAGCAGGCAGCAAAGTTCCGCTGCCGGAAAGCCCTGTCTTGGATCTCAATTGGTCGGTGGAACTGGTCCTGCCGAGTTGCAACACTGGTGTGAATTGGGAAGGTTGATTCTACACATACAGGATTGCCGTCAGAGTCTACACCCCGACCACTTAATGAATCCGCGGCGCACCGAAGGTTATGAGGGTCGTAATTGTAATGGGGCACATACATGCAGCCCAAGAGTTTGCGTTGGGGGGTGAGGCCTTTTTCGTTTCGGACCGGAAAATGCATATCTGGCATCATGAGGTGCATCTGGAGGGGAGGTGGCGCTTGGAGAAAGCATGCAACAATATAGTGAAATGGAACATGCGATTTGGAAGTGGTGTGCCATATGATCTGGGACTGCAGTGACTGCAGGGTATAGAACATGAGATGCTGCACGCGTCGACGAAGCTTTTGGAAGGAGTGGTTTGTTCCCAAACAGTGTGGACACACTTAGGGGCGCTTACGGTAGGAGTAAGCAGCTGTGCTTAGATCGCTGTGCGGCTACAGAAATTCGCGGCTATTTACAGTGCATTCATACCTCTCGAAATCGCCCACACGCATTTCGACTGCCCAGGCTCGCAAAATCTGCCTGCCGGCGGCGGGCAGATTCTAGCGACTGCGCTTTCGTTGTGGCGCCGTGCGCATTTTCGCACATCTTTTCGTGGCGGCGCAAGGGATCGGAGCTGTTCTACTTCAAAATGCAGTTTTCGTGGCAGGTACAGTACTTTGGACATGGTGGTGATCTTCGACAAGCTCTGATTTCGTGACAGGTGCAATGAATTGTGACTTCTCGAGATGCGGCTCATTTGCCGATTTCGTGGCAGGTACAGCACTTTGTGAACTTCGACGTGCAGATTTCGTATGCTCAATCGCGCATTTTCCCTCTCTCACTTTCACTCACACTCACACACGCTCACCCTCACCACGCCCACTCAGACTCTCATTCTGACTCTCTCACTCTCATTCACACACATTCACGAAGTGCACCTTCACTCTCACCCGCACTCACTCTCACCCTCACTCACTCACCCACATTCACTCTCAGCCACACTCACTCTCGCTCACACACACTCTCACTCACACTCGCACGCACATTCATTCTCACTCTCACTCCCTCACACTCACTCTCACTCTCACTTACTCACTGACTCACTCAATCACTCTCACTCTCACTCACACTCACACTCACCGGCACCGTCACCATGATCCCCACCGTCATCACCACCATCACCTCTCTGGACCCCAATGCGTCTAGATCTCTAGACGTTCTGCTTATAGACCTCACACAGACTGGTTGGGGTATTTTGCCGGCATAATTATTTTTTTTAGGGATCTGGTGCGGCATGTGATGCAATAATGAGGCGTATCAACAACAAAACATGGACACCTACACAAAAGTAAACACAAAGTATGATCAACATCAGACCTGGAGATGAACGGCGCACTGCAGTGAAAAAGAGACGTGCAAACGAAATAACAGAGTTGGACCAAAAAAATTGTACAACTTCAAGAGCGTCAAAAACTCTACAATGTGCAATGCGCATGATCGATACAAGCCCTAAAGATGAACAGTAATGGTTACTATGCAGTGGGTGAAATAAGAACTACTATATAAGCACATCAGAAATAACAACTTGCAGGCATTGTTGGATTGTTGGAAGGATTACAATATGGGTAAACATGTCACAACAAAACTATAAAGACATCTAGGGTCCTGCTCAGCCTGCTCATTCGGTTACCGCATCATCTGGCATGTTGGCTTGGACATGAATTACCTTTCCTTGTGCTCTCTCGAAGCAAACGGTGCGGGCGCTTGTTGTCGCGAAGCGACCTGAATAAACTCCACTCAGTGGCTAAATACCTGTGACTTGCGAGAATAAGCTTCAGTGTGCCTTTCCCTACATCAAGAAACGCAACCCCAGTCATTCGAATGTATAGACTGTATTCAGATGCAATAGATATATTCACGACTGCAGTTTTCTTAGTCGAAACAAACATTTCACTTGGCATTCCCTCCTGCAAAAGCACGCTATAGTTTTCTTGGATCAGGCCAAGTCAAACGTCACTGACCCCTTTCAAACTGCACGATATGACAGAAAGACTTTCAGGGCCATACTCATTGTTAAAACGCTCTTTTGCATTATGTTGCTGCACTATACAGAGCAATCACAATTGACAAGAGTTGTGATTGATGAAACAAGTTGCGCAAACAGAGCCATAGGCGAGTGTAGACAGCTTTTGCCATCTCAGCAGGCTTCAACCCCTTAATCTGCAAGGGAACATAAAGATAGCTACTTTGTCAGAAAACCTCAAAGGCCATTCTGACAGCTTGCAAAAAACTCTACCGGTTTCAAACATGTTTTGAAAGCCTCTTTAGGAAGATGGATTCTAAAACCCTCGGTTGAGCGAAGGGGATAGGAACGTTCTTCTTGCCTGAAACTTGCTGAGCAAAGCCCATTCCCAAATCTGCAGGCGCTCAACCCTGGGTCCTGCTTCCGCTTCCGCCACATGTTGCCACTGTTCTCAACGCCCAGGAAAACCAGCTGATCACAAAGGTCCACCAGCTTCAGCATGTTGGCATAGCCTTGAAATCCATTTTAACGAATGACCTTTCAACGGTGCCTTATATTTACATGTTGTCTTTTCATGTCTCAGCTTGGTTGTCACAACACTCACGCAAAAATAGGACTCTGACCCTGCCCTGCCACCTTTTACGGTCTTGCGCAGACTTGCAAATATGTAACTACATACAGTACCTATATACTTCTGATATCGGAAGAGCCGTGCCAACTGATCATGTTACATGACATCTGCAGCTTTCCAAGAGTGGCTCAAGCAACAAGTTACGTTCGCCTCGCCTTTGCCCGTGGCCGTGTTGGCATCCATGAACTTGCTCTGGCCGATGTTGAGGCTGGACAAATCCACACATGGATAGCCCACGAAACCCATGTCCAAATCCAAGGGTGCCAAGAGTCTCCGACCTCGGCAACCACTCGCGCCAAGGGAGAAAACACTGCCCACGAAGAAAAACAATGCCCCAACAAAACAATCTGCGCTGATTACCATTAAGCAGCACAGCTGTCCGTGAACCGATCACAAAGACTGTCGCCAAATAGTGGCAGTACTTGACAGCTACGTGCCTACCACGTTCCTGCCCTTGATTGGCCCGGTTTGATCTCACTGGCCCGAGGAAGGACACGAGCGCGGTGTCAAAGACCTACACGGTCGTTAGGCCTAGAAAACATGATCATTGCACCAGTTGTCTCAGTAATCTGTTTACTATAGGGAATCACACTTTGATGGCATCCCACCTCTAACACAAAATGATGGAAATGGGGTACCACTAAGACCTTACCGGAGACCTAAGTTTTGAGCGTGGATGCCATCAATCTGTGCTGTGTTGTGACTCTGCAGTTTGAGGATTCCGTCGGCCACATGTGAACAGCTCCTTTTCGCGAATTTCTAAGCAGTTGCTGAACCACTCCATCCAAATGAATACAAAAAAGATCAAAAAAGCAACATCAACATACAGTAACATACAGCACACACACATATATATATATTTACAGTATTTAATATAGTAGCTTCCTGTTCCTAGTAGCGATGCCCCTTGTTACTAGTAGTGTCCTTGCTACTAGTAACTAGTAGCTTCTTGCTACCAGTATTGATGCCAGGAGCTACTAGTAGCCTCCGTTCCATGGATCCGCCTTACTTTCCCTTTTGAAACGTTGGCCGAAGTAGCCTCTAGAATCTCTAGAAATGCAGGGCTGAAGTGTTTCGTAGATCATCATCACTCAAGCTGTCTAGCAATCTTATTGCCCCTCCCGAACGTTTCTAATCTCTTCAACCTAGCTGCCGCTTAGAAAGTCGTAGGCACACCCGGTCGCCACTTCAGATGCATCGGTGAATATATATGGCACATCCCTGGAGAACGGAGTGCCGCGGTGCCGCAAGCCACTCTTTCTGCTGCAATAGTGGACATGTGTGCACATCAGGACTTGGCAGAGCATGTTCCATTTCTTCGGCCCAATTTTTTGGAATGAACATAGTGGGGGAACAACAATCATGTTGGAACACACGCTTATATGATATGGATCATTTTGGAAAACACCAAGTTGAGTCCATTTATGCCCATTTGGGAACACATGATTAGGACCAGTTTGGAACACAAAGACTCATCATGGTAGAGAAGCTGGAGCAGGGGTGTTGCTCTTTAAATCAGATTCAGGCACGGAATCGGAAGGGTTGCAGATTTCGTGGTGCAGGAGGGGGGGCTGGGGGGAGGACACAGCGCCTGTCCTTTAAAGAACATCAAAGAACGCACAAACCGTTCCAGGAAGCCAGTGGAAGCTGGGCAACACTAAGCAACAAAAACCAAGAGTAGCTACCAAAACCAAAACGCAACTCCCCACAGCCAAGCCATTGAAAGCCAATCTGCAAGATAACGGTGGAGCGCCGGGTGAAAGAAATTGAAAGTAAAACTGACGTGCTGATGTGTGGCTCTTAAAATTCACTGTCGCAGGCGGAAAATCCTTTCTGCTCGTTGGAATTGCTCCTCCCTCCCTGCTCTAGGGACTCTGAATTTTACCCACGGGTTGCCTACAAAAGTGCGCTATATAATACATTTCCTTCCGTCTCTAAGTGTTACTTCTTGGGGTGGCCGAAGCAATGTGCTCCTCCCTGTGGTTTTTTTCGCCTCGTGTGGCCCACTTCCTGCTCCAAATTTTCCTTCGGTTGGCCCACACAAGCGGTGCCATGCTCTAAACTGGAATTGGCCCTTCCGCAGTGGGACCCTGTTGCGAAACACACTTAGATCAATGCTCGCAAGAGCTCTATCAACTTCGAACTTCAATGAAGCTAATTGCTGATTACCCTAGACTAGACCTTGGCTCACAAAACCGCAGGGCGAAGGGTCACGGAAAATTATTGCAGGTACGTGACTTTGGCGTCGCAAAGTCATTTCACAACACGGTGGAAAGGTCTTTGTTGGGCAGTGCCTTCCAAAGTGTTCATTGCCCCCCTGCTGCTTAAAAGTCTCTAAAGAAACCCTTAGGGACAGGGTTGACACACACAAGCCGCAGACAATCGGCGCACTCTAAACAGGCCTGCGGTACAACCTAACAAGTTTAGCAACGAAGGGAAGACCTAGGACCTAGAATTACACCACCGTAGACCCCCAACAGGCAGGACAACAACAAAGCATTCCCAAGTCCATTTTTGGAAACATGAAACCACATGGGTGAGGGCTGGGTGGGTAATGGTCTGTCATTGCGGTGCAGGAGGGTAGCGTGAGGTTGCTCTTGTGTGCAAGAGTGTGATTCTGAATGGAGTTGTGATGGAAAACGTCTCATTGCTGGGATTGTTCGGTCCAATCAATGTGAATGAATTGTTGAAAATCGCAAATGTCAGAATAAGTTAAGTAAGCCCACTGTCGAGCAGAAGCTGAGCAATGTAGGCATTGTGGCGGATGTTGTCTGTGTTGAACTGCTGCGGAAAATATTGGTCGGGCGTTGCATCGGGGGATTAGTGTGATATTGATTCCATTAGTTGGTCTTGGTGATGGCTGGGTTGGGGACATAATGGCGGACGCAATGACCAACAAGAAGGTAGACAGGAGACAAAACAGGACAAGAAGGAAGACAAGGCGGACACAGTGACCAACACGAAGGGAGGCAACAAGGGAGACAAGAAGAGAGACACAAGGAAACAAAGGGAGACAAGGCGGACACAGTGACCCACAATAAGGAAGACAAGACCGGAGAGAAAGGGAGACAAGAAGGAAGACAAGGCGGACACAATGACCAAAGGAAACAGAAGGGAGACAAGACGGACACTGTGACCCGCAAGCTGACCAACAAGAAGGGAGAGAAGGGAGACAGAAGGGAGACAAGGCGGACTCAATGACCAACAAGAAGGGAGACAAGAAGGGAGACAATTACACCACCGTAGACCCCAAACAGTTTGTGTTTTCCAAAGTCGAAACTAGAGCTTGCGACATCCAGAGCTGGGAGACACAGGATTGCAAGGCAGAGGCGGCCACAGCAGCCCAGAGCTGGGAGAGAAATGTAAAGGATTGCAAGGCAGAGACGGACACAGCAGTACAGAGCGGGCGGAGCCCTAACAGTAAACCTGTTGGGGAATTATTCTTCAAGCGCGAACATGATGCTGGTCATGCTGCTCAATCAGCGGGGAGCTGACCACTGACCACGTGAGGACCAGAAATAAAGCATGAGGAGCGAAGGATGTGACATGAAATTGATTTTTGGTGCCTGATGTATGCCCTCCGTCCCAACTGAACAGAGAGATCGCTGCCACGCCGCCGAAATCCAATCCGGTCATTCATCCAACGCTTGCCCGAAAAGGAAAACAAAGCTGAGAGAGTTACACAGTGTGGCAGGAATGCATTCCCGGACACAGTCACGCACCCCTTTCAAAGGAGCAAGAACCTTTCACAGGTGAACCTATTCCAGCGGACAGGGCAGAAACAGCAGTGCAGGCACCCTGAAAAACAAAAAGCAAGAATAGAAATGTACATGGCCAGCGGAAAAGGGCGGCAGCGCCAGTGACAGACCCCGGGAACAAATGAGTAGAAATGCTGCATGGCCAGCGGAAAGGGCGGACACCAGCAGTGACAGACCTGGGAATAGAAATGTTGCATCGCCAGCGGAAAGGGCAGACACCAACAATGACAGACCAACGGACAAGGGCGGACACCAGCAGTGACAGACCTGGGAGACAAATGAATAGAAATGCTACATGGCC